TAAGCCCTGTGGCCGCTGGCTCCGCTCGTCGCCAGCCGCGGCGCCTTAGCAGCACCCTCGCGCCCGTGGTTGCTCCCGGGAGCCCCCTCCTGCGGCAGCGCGCCGCGTGCCTGGCTGCCGCCGCCTTGCCTGCCGCAACACCCTGGCCTCGGGCAGCAGGCCCCGCTGTCGGCTCTGCCCCGCGGGCGCCCACCCGCGCAGCCACCGCCCCGAGCCCAGGCAGCAAGGCTCGTTGTTGCACGGGGCGCCGCTTCCTGGCTGCCGCACGCGGAGGACGCCCCTCGGTCGCCTGCTCACCGTGCTCTCCGTCAGCGCGAGCAGCTACCGCAGCCGCGGCGGCCAGCGCGATGGCTGGGCCTCGCGCGGGCGCCGCCATGGCCTCGGCCGCACTGTCCTCCGCTCCGCCGCTGGACCTCGACCGCCCGTCATCAGCCTGAGTCTCCATTTCGGGTTGCACGACCTTGGCGCACTTGGGCAGCGAGAACACCTGGTGCAGCCTCTCGGCAGCGCTCAAGTCACCCGGCGGGCGGCGGCGTCCTCTCCACAGCCCCACTAGCGTCCGTCCCGGCGTCCACCGCGCCTGGGGCATGGCCGCCGTCATGCCGCGCTCTCTTCCGCAGTGGTTCTGCTGGAGCGAGGGCATCGGCCACCCCGTGATCAAGGAGGGCTGTCGCTGTGAGGCCCCATCGGGGTCGCCGCACGGTGGTGACCAGTGCGTGCCTGCGGCGTGAGGCGCCTATTGGCTGGTACCGTCTGCCACCCGCTGACCGTTCGCCACAACTTTGCTGGCAGGTGCGTCTTGTGGTTCACGCTCTCCGTGAACTCCAGGGGCCCTCGACGTCTGACCCACCCCAGGTAACAGTCTCAGTCGTGCGCGTCACTGAAACCGGCGATGAACTCACCTCGGGCCCTCTAGCCGATTCGACGAACAGGGATCCCTCACCTCCCTCTTGGCCAGCCCCCCACAGGGCAGCGCAAGGGGTCGCAGCGGGTTCCGTCCTGCTCGCCGTCTCAGCCTTTGCAGGACAGCCGAGGTCGGGCCGCAAACTCGACGCGGGAGCAGCTGTCCACGAAGCCGCCGTACTCGTCGAGGAGGTCCCACCATCCGAGTTGATGTGCATGTCACCGTTTTCCGTGGGGCGCGGGCATCCATGGGTACATCCATACACACATACGCACACACATACACATATACGTACACACATGCATACACACTACATATAAACATACATCCTCGCATGCATGCAGGCAAACACACATGCATACATACATGCACACATACAAACATACATACACATACACATACATACGTTCATACATACAACCATACACATTTACATAGACACATACACACATACACACCGACATCTAAGTACACATACGCACGTAACACACACATACTATCACATACACATCCATCCATCAATCAAAGCGTACATACGTACATGCATCCATACATACAGGTACATCAACACATATGCATGCATGCATGCATTCATACATGCATGTGCGCGTACACATACACACATACGTTCATACATGCATCCACTCATACGAATGTACAGAGATACATACATACATACATACCCGCATACATACACACACGCATACATACATGCGCACAGCGATACGTACATACACATGCATGCATACATACAGTCATATTTCCATACATGCACACATGCACACACGACCATACACATACATACATACGTACATGCACATACATACATACACGCATGCATACACACAACCACACATACGTACACCATGCGTAGTGCACACACGCATGCATACACACATGCATGCATACACACGTACACACATACATACATACATACATACATACATACATACATACATACATACATACATACATACATACATACATACACACATACATACATACATACACATACATATACACATACATACATACACTTACGTACACACATGCACACGTACACACGTATATGCACATACATACACGCATACATACACATACACATACGGACGTATACATATTCATGTATACATGTACATTCACAGACACACGTACATCCACACCTACACACATACATGCATACACACATGCACATGCATGCGTGCATGCATACACACATCTATATATACAAATACTTTTATATACGTGCGACATGCACATGTACACACATACACACATGCATGTGCATGCATATACACATTCATCGGTTCATTCATTCATTAACCCATCCATTCATTCAGACATACTCTGTACATCCATCCATCCATGCATACATATCCACGTACGCGCCCATACATACATGCGTACCAACATACATGCATCCATACATACACGCATCCATTCGCTCAGATATGCATGACTGCATACATACATACACGTATATCCATATGTAAGGGTTTGCCCTTCTTTTTCCCAACCCTCCAGTGTTGGTTTTCGTTTTGCACAGCACTGCTCGCGCGTCTCCGTCCTTTCTTCCTTCCCTCCCACCCTCCCTCCGTCCTTCCTTCCTTCCTGCCTTCCTACCGCCTCCTCCCCCTATCTGCCTCCTCCGCCGCCTACCTTCTACATTTTGTGCGCTCCCTCGGTGGCTGCGAACAGCGCGGATGAACGCGAGACCTCGCGGCTAACTTGGGGTGTTTGTGAACTGCGCAGTTGTCGCCATTTTCGCGGGCTCTCGCGAGGCACGGCGGAGTGTTGGGCAGCGCGGATCAAGGCGAGACCCCGCGGCTCCGTCGAGGGCTGAGAACTGCGCAGCTGTCGCCACTTTGGTGGGCTCCCGGGGGGGCACGGCGGGGTGCAGGGCAGCGCGGAGAAGGGTGGGACCTCGCGTCTCCCATAAAGGGGGCTGCGAACTGCGCAGCTGGCGCCACCTCCGTGGGTGCCCTGGGGGCCACGGCGGAGTGCAGGGCAGCGCAGATCGTGTGTATCTCGCGATGTGCTCTATTGCGTGGAGCGTTCATGCAAAGATTTGCCTCGCGTGGAGATTGGGTTTGGTTTGTCTTGGGTACCAGTCGGTCGTTGAGCGTAGGTATTTCTGGACTCCCAGATACCAGTCGAATTTGGCCGCCTTCCTGCTTCATGCGTCGAGCGGTTTTCCCTGTTCCCTCCTCTCCAGGGGGCGGGCGGAAGCCCAATCTACTTCCACCGCCTTCCTACTTCATGTTTCTACCCATTTCTTCCGACCGACGGGCAATTGCTTTTCAAGGGCGTGGTTGGGCCCTTTGAGGCTTCTGTTCGGGGACGCTCCTGCAGGTCCTGGGACGCTCCTGGTCCACCCGCATCCTGGGATGCTCCAGTACATGGACAACATATTCGAACCCAATGCAGACGTGAAGGGAATGCTGGTCCCCCCCCTGCCCCCCCACTTCAATGTTGAGATCGGTATGGGTGTTGCTTTTGGGGTTCGAGTATTATCGTCCACCCAAGTCCCCCCTTCATTGCCACATCTCCCCAATATTAATTTGGGGGTCCGGGGGACATCTTGTGTCGCAGGGTTCGGATATATTGTCCATGTACGGTCCTGGTCTACCCGCAGGGCCTTCCCGCCGCCAGCCCCCTGGGGCGACTCTGCTGGGCTGGCAGCCCGCCGCCCGCCCCTTCCCCCCCCCTGGTCGCGATCCGATTTGTCGGACGTTTATTCTCAGACCTGCCGGGCGATTCTTTGGGTGGATTTTGGGGCCCAGGTGTTTTTTTCCGCCAGCTGCGCCTCGTCGACAGCGCTCCAGGCGGGCCCGGACTGAGTCATTGCTGTGGTGCCCAGATCCCCAGGCGGGGAGGATGAGGATCGGCCACGCGCAATGGCGACCCTTCGCCGGAGCTGCCCCTGGTGCGTGCCCAGAGGGGGTTCCTCCCCCAGTACGGGCCTGCGCGGCCTTCGAAGTCCGAGCTCCAGATCATCGAGAAAAAAAAACCAGACCCGAATACCTCAACGAAGACGTGGCCTCACTGAGGTCCCCGTTTTTGCATCAGGGAGCATCAATCTGGGCGGTTTGGCTTGGTACATCTTCAGACAAGGACCCCCTATCCCGAAAGTTCTGGACCTCCTAGCTCAGGTCCGCTCCCAAAGGTTTAGGGATCTTTTTTTTGCCAATCAGCTGAGGGGCAACGATATGGGGGGGACTGGCATAGGAGGGGATGCATCGACCTGGAATCGACGATGCATCGCCGATAGATCGGCGATAGGCCCCCGATAGCGAATCCGCGCGTTCCTGGGCAGATTGGGGCTCTCGGGCCCCTATCGGCGATCAATGGGCGATTGGGGGTCGATGCATCCCCCCCCTGTGCCCATCCTCGCCTATCCGTGCCCCTGATCACCAGAAGCTCTTGCCCAGGGTCGCGCTCGCGTGCAGCCGACGGGGGAGCGCCCCCGCACCCCCCCTTCTCCCGCCGGCCGGTCGCGCGCAGGCAGGGGCCGGGGGCGTCGACGTCGTCGTCATTGTCGCGTCGTCGACGTCGTCGTCGTCGTCGTCGTCGTCGTCGTCGTCGTCGTCGTCGTCGTCGTCGTCGTCGTCGTCGTCGTCGTCGTCGGGGGGCGTCTTGGACGCCCTCCCCGCCTCCAAGGAGTCTGCTGGAAGCCCTGCGGCCCGCGTGCCTTCCCAGGTGGCCACCGAGCGCGAATCGAAGCGAGCACTCACGTCGGATCGAGTTCGACCGATGGCCGGATGCTCTCAGCAAGGCCGATCAGCTCGCTCATAGGCGTTCGCCGTTCAGTTTTCGACTCGCATCGCGACTGTTGTCACTCACTGGCCCCCTTGTGCGCGCCAGCACTGAGGCCCTGGTGTTCGGGAACGAGCGCGAGGGCGTCTCCCCGGCGCTGCAAGCGGCCTGCGATGCCACGGTCGAGCTCGCGGTCGGAAGCGGGCGCGCGCTGAACGTGGGTGTGGCCGCAGGCGTCACAGCCTTCCAGGTGGCGGACCACTTCGGCCTGGCCAAGGGGTCCCCGGCGGCGATCCAGCGCCTCGGCCTGCTGCTGAGGACCGCGCCACAATTCCACTGACTCCGCGACCGCGCGTCGTGCACCGTCCCCGGGTCTCGTGCTGGCCTGTGGCAGCGGGCGGCGCGAAAGAAGGGGCAGGGCCAGGGCCGGGCGGGGGGCAGTGGTCAAGTCCCGGGTTCCATGCTTTAGCCTTAATTTCTCGTCAGACGAGTAAAAGAACAAGCAGTGGTACGTAAGCACCAAGCGACCCTCAACTGTTCAACGTAATAATGGTCCAGCCGTGCATGATATGATATTCAATGGATCTGCTGGTGAGGGACCTATACATGCATATGGATGGTCGTGTACATATGTACGTGTACATCTCTCTACATATAAGTAACCTATACGACCAGCCTTCGGGTGATAAGGAGGTTGAGGGGAGGGGGGAAAACCAACTGCTGGCAACGGCGATGTGTGTGATGATGGCGATGCTGATGGCGCGCCCTCGAGTTGACGACGACGCGTGATAACGATTTTGCATCGCGATGTGGCGATGTGATGTTTTTTGCTGCACTCGCGCCATCGCCCCCAAGTGACCTGCGCGCCAGTAGCCCGAGCCCGTCGGACTCGGTGACCGAGTCGCTGCCAACACGGCTCATAACCCGACAGAGCCTGGTATAGCTTGGGCCACGGAGCCTGGGAGAACGTGGGCCCAAATAAGCGTTCCCGCTGCTCCTGCGCGCTCTCGCTGCTGTTGGAGCGCGCACTGTTTGCGCTTACATCTCTTGCGCGGCCTGCCTGCATGCTGGACACCACTGCGCCCGCACCGGAGGCAGACCCATACCGAAGACCGATGCTCACCGCGTGCGCGGCCTGGCTGTGGCACGCGCTCCTCCCCTCCGCCACGGCGGCAGCAGCGCTGCCTCGCCGCGCGCGCCCTGCGCAGGCGTGCTGGCCTCGTTCCCGACAGCTCGCCCGGCAGAGCCTGGTCTGGGCCTTCGGCGGGCCACGGAGCCCGAGTTCGCGCAGCTGCCCTGCAAGCTGCGTGTGCGAGCACGTGCACGTACGGCGTCCTTGTCAAGCGCGGCCCCCGTCGAAAAGCACACGTTGCGTGCGGCCACCCGGCGTGGAACAAAGCGAACTTAATTGCCTTTGACGGCATGCGTTTTGATTTGGTCGGCAGCGAAGTCGTACACCCACAGGCGGCCACCAGTGAAGCGCCCCACCGCGATCAGCGCAGTCTGGCCTACTTTCGGGTCTTCATGCGCATCTGACTCCCAGGAGTGCGCGACCGCCAGGCTGCAGAACGGCAGCTGCGGCACATGGTGGCGAACGAATGCTGCCAGTAGCTTCGTGATGACAGGCCGGGACACAGGGCCCCTCGAAAGACATGGGCCTTTGGACCGGTGAATCGCCATCCACAGCTGGAGACGCGGCCTCTTCCCAGCGGCGGCCTTGACGACCGCCGGAGCGGCGCTGGCAGCGCCGCATGGCCACGCCAATCCTTGCAGCAGGCACTCGAGTCGACTCGGCTCCACACGGCCCCCCCGTGTCAACTCGGACTCGCCCAAGTCCAGTGCCCCTTGCGTGGGCGGTCGCTGGCAGAGCCTGGCGCCCTGCTGGTCGCTAGCCGAGCCTGGCGCCCCGCGGCCGCTAGACGAGCACTGCAGCGCTGGACAGGAGCAGCCCTCCGAAAGAACGGACTGGGCGGATGCGCACAGACAAGCCGAAATGGCATCGGCGGACACCGAAAGCTCAAACACCCCGCCCCGCCCAACGGATAGCCCGAACCTCGAAGGCCCAAACGCTAATAACTGGGACACCACGGGGCACCGCGGGACACCACTGGGACACCGCAGGGCACCACGGGACACCACGGGGTACCACGAGACATCCGCGGGACACCACGGCGGGACATCGCGGGACACCGTCGGGACAACGCGGGACACCCCCAGTCACGGCGCGCCCACCAGAGAGCCGGACTTTTGCATCCGAATCGCCGCAGCGACGGCGAGATCATTCCTCTCACGCGCCCACGGCGAGTCACCGCGCGACACCATCGGGACACCCCCAGCTACCGCGCGCCCAGCTGAGGGCCGGATTTTTGCATCCGAATCGCCCCAGCGACGGCGGGATGTTTCTTCTCGCGTGCCCACTCAGCTTCTCCTCGTCCGCACGCACGACACGAACACGAAGCTGAAACCGATTTCCCAGTGGGGGGATTTCCGTTCCACTGCGATCTCACCCCCCAACCTTCGATCTGTTTGAATATAACGATATGCATATAGGGGAGAAAGAACCAACTGACAACAACCGCGATGGCGGTGATGATGACGATGCTGGTGATGTGCCCTCGAGTTGGCGACGTTTCGTGGTGACGATTCTGCGTCGAGATGTGGTTCCACTATCGATCCCACTCGATCGACCTCACCATCGAGACACCACTAAGGCACCAAGAGCCCAAATGAATGCCACCACTACTGTGCCGTGATGGTCGGTGCTAAGTGTGATGGCTGGCTGCTGATGGGAAGGTGATGACCGCAGTGGTAATGATTGTGGCGGCGACAGCAACGGCGGTGTGCTGAGTACGATCGGAACAGCATCGGAAATGGCAATGTGACGATGCTGCGTCGAGATTTGATCTCAACATCGATCCCATTCGATCGACCTCGTCATTGAGGCACCACCAGGGCACCATGAGCCCAATCGGGCCAAATCATAGCCACAACCACTACGCTGCGATGGCAATGCGAGGATGCTGCGTCGCGATGTGATCTGACTATCGATTCCACTCGATCGACTTCACCATCGATCAGTCGTACTACCGATCTTACTTGAGTATCGACCTTACGGGCAATCCCAATATCGATTGATCCAACTAACGATCCTACAATTGACCTCACAATGAGTAGCGCTGAGTTCGATCGGGGCACCATCGGAACAGTATCGGGCCAAGTAGAAGCCACACCAATCGGGACACTAATCGGGACACCAATCGGGACACCGACGGGACACCAATCGGGACACCAATCGGGACACCGACGGGACACCCACGGGACATCATTCGTTCAATATCACAGGCGAGTCCGTGGCTGGCGATGCTGCCATTGAAAACCATTTGGCGTATCGGGTTCTCTGCGATTCCCCCCAAGTCTCATTATGGGCACCACCAGGACACCATCGAGACACCATCGAAACACCACTAGGACACCATCAGGACACCAATCGGGACACCAATCGGAACACCATCTACTCGGGGCACCAATCGGAACCATCAGGACACCACCGAGACACTATTGAAACACCACCAGGACACTATCGGGACATCAATCGGGACATCAATCGGGACACCAATCGGGACACCAATGGGGATCTCATTATCGATCTCAGTGTCGATCTCGCTATCGGTCTCACTCGATCGATCCCAGCATCGCTCTCGCTCGATCGATCTCACTTTTGATCTCATTCTAGATCTCACTAGTGATCCCAGTATCAATTTCACTATTGGTCTCACCATCGGTCTCACTATCGATCCCACCAGGGGACACCACGGGACACCGACGGGACTCCGACGGGACACCGAAGGGACACCGACGGGACACCCCAGGGACACCGACGGGGCAGCGACAGGACACCGCAGGACACCATCGGCACATCCTCGGGACATCAATCGATCTCATTTCCGATATCCCTATCGATCTCACTCGCTCGACCCAAATCGATCTCACTATTAATCTCACTATCGCTCTCACTACCAATCCCACTATCGAGCTCACTATTGGTTTCACTGATCTCACCATCGATCTCACTACGGGACACCACAGGACACCGACGGGACATCGACGGGACATCCGCGGGACACCGACGGGACACAGATGGAACACCACGGTGGGACAACCCGGCCACCGCCCGCCCACCACGGTGGAGGGGCGGACAGCAACGGGACACCACGGCGGGACAACCTGGCCACCGCCCGCCCACCGGGAAGGGAGGAGGGGCGGTCAACGGCACTTGACCCGCCCTAACCACAGCGGAGTCATTCCTTTCGCCTGCCCGTGCAGCTTCGCCTCGCCCGCACGCGCGACATGAACCCGAAACCGAAACCGATTTCCCAGTGGGGTCTCTCCGTTCCACTGCGATCTCACCCCCGATCTCCGATATGAGTACATATGTATATATGTAGGTAAGTATGTATGTATGTATGCATGCATGCATGCATGTATGTATGTATGCATGTATGTATGTATGTATGTATGTATGTATGTATGTTTGTATATATGTATGCATACATGCATGTATTTATGTATGTATGCATGCATGCATGTATGCATGCTTGTGTGTACGTATGTATGTATGTATGTTTATATATGTATGTATGTATGTATGTTTGTATGTTTGTATGTATGTATGTATGTATGTATGCATGTATGTGTATATGTATGTATGGACGGATGGATGGATGGATGTATGAATGTATATATGTGTGTGTGCGGAGGTATGTTTGTTTGTTTGTTTGTTTGTTTGTTTGCATGCATGCATGCATGCATGTATGTATGTATGTATGTATGTATGTATGCCTGCCTATATGTATGTATGCATGCATGTATGCATGCATGCATGCATGTATGTATGTATGCATACATGCATGTATGTATGTGTGTATGTATGCATGCATGCATGCATGCATGCATGTATGTATGCATGTATGTACGTATGTATGTACGTCTGTATGTAGGTATGCATGCATATGTGTCTGTGTATGTGTAGGTGTATGTGTATGTGTATGTGTATGCGTATGCGTATGTGTATATGCATGTGTATGTGCATGTGTATGTGTATGTGTATGTGTATGTGTATGGGTATATGTATGTGTATGTGTATGCGTATGCTTATGTGTATGTGTATGTGTATGTGTGTGTGTATGTATGCATGCATGCATGCATGCATGCATGCAATCATACATGTATGTATGGGGGGCCAAGCGCAAGACTGGCCAGGAGGCCTCCGGCTCTCTCGTTCGTGAGCTTCAGAACCGGCTGGACCGTCTGAGGGAGCTGAAGTAAGGGATCCCATAGGTA